CCAGATACAGAGTATTGATATTGTAAAAACACTATACATTACAGCATTTTATTTGATAATTTTCTTAACTCATTGTGTTATTTTTATACACTTTTCTAAGGTCCACATTGTGTAACAACTTTTGCTTTAACCTTTTGCTGCTGCTTTAACACCACAATTCCGCTATTGTGGGGCAATGAAGGGATTTTCTATCCTATTCTATTCTATTATTTTCTATAATTTAAGTAGAGACTGCATACAAAAGAGTCAGTTGAGGAGATTGAAGCATCTAATTTTAGAATGAATCCAAGGTACCTCCCTTTGGAGGTGTTCAGATACATACCACGATAGGAAGATCCTGTGTGGACAAATAACTTCCTGAAAACACCTTGGACCCCTCTCCTAGCAGAACATACCAGATGCATGGATAGACATGTACCTACGTAAAGTACGAGGAGAAGGGATGTTAAAAGTACATCTAATTTATTTATGATTACTTTAAGTTACATTGGCTGTTTTTGTCGGTTCGTTTCTTCTGGTCCCTAGCAACGTATCAGACAGGTCTGACTTAGATCTAACTAGTGAATACACACATGACAGGCTGACAGAGCATCTTATTTTTTCCTCTTTTCTTCCTGTTTCCCAGGGGACCCTCTGGAACAGCTGGTAAGACACTTCCTCATCGAGACAGGGCCACGGGGAGTGAAGATCAAGGGCTGTCAGAACGAGTCCTACTTCGGTCAGTTATTTTCTACATCTAACTATAATCTACGTCACATATTCTGTTGTTTGTGACACACAAAGCTGATTAGGTTTTAATCCGTTCACATCTTTCATAGTTGTGTAATCTGTTTGCTTCTTTTGTTCCTCTCCCTTTGTCTCAGGAAGTTTATCTGCTCTAGTTTACCAACATTCAATAACTCCTATCTCTCTGCCGTGTGCCCTCCGTATCCCAGACAAAGGTAGAGATGATTTTTTTTGGTTCTTTTTCAAGATCCAAACTTGTTAAATTAATTTATTAAGGATGCAGAAACATATTTTAGTAATTTGTAAAGTAACTAAAGTCTGTCGTATTTCAGATTTGGTTGGTGAGCTCCAGGAGATGCAAAGTGCCACAAATACAAGTACAGCTGCTGACCTCCTTAAACAAGGAGCAGGTACAACATTGACCATAGGAGTAAAAGCTTAAACAACTGAAAATGCACTAGAATTATGTCTGACCTCATACAGATCTGTAATATATTTTGTATTTAACAATAATTTTAGCATGCAACGTGCTCTACCTAAATTCAGTGGAAACTGAGTCATTGACGGGGCCAGAGGCTGTTTCCAAGGCTATCAAGTGTACAATGGCTCTCAATACACGACCAGTACCAACGGTGGTCCACTTCAAAGTGTCCTCACAAGGGATCACTCTAACTGACAATAAAAGAAGGTTAGCCATTTTATTTTTTTGATTAATGGTTACGCAACATACTGAAAAAAGTTAAACATTGCTGTTATTCATTCGATATATTTCCCTCGGCTTCAATAAAAAAAGGATTTTGTTTTGTACAATTTAAACAATAGAGAACTAGGAAAATGCTCAGTACCACAGTTGACATTGTCATGTTGAGCCAATTACAGTGTTCACATGTAAAAAAATACTATATCAGTTCTAGTTAAGACATTGTTAATTTGTTTTCATTGCATATGGATAGTGTAAGGGTTTGGTTGAGGTTGAGGACCCATATGCAGAAGCAGAGAGGCTGAGGTGATTTCTTGGAGTTTTATTGGAGAGAAACAGTAAACAAAGGCAGGAATCCAAAAATCCAACTAATAATGTAAAGCAGACCAGAACTATGGAGACATCTGGGGAAACCAAACATGAGGAGCCAGGGAGAGACGATGTAGGTAGACAACAGCAAAGAAGACAGCAAAGACAAGGAACCAACCAAGAGTGACAGCAGAAGGAGAGTATAAATAGCTGACTGAGACGAAGGCAGGGTTAACGAGCGGATAAGGAGCAGGTGTGAGTGGAGACAACAAGGAAGCCAAGGGGAAAGGAACACAAACAAGAGGGCAACCAAGGACAACAATAGAAAAACCTGAGTACTAACATAAATCTAGAAACTACAACAAAATAGGAATTAAATTAATAAAACTAGAAAGCAAGGAGTAAAGTAAAGTACAACAGAGCCAAGACCATGACAGATAGTTCGATTAAAAACATCTATGAAGTATAAAGGATGTCTTGACAAAGGGTTCTGCTTCTTACATCAGTCTTAGTAAGTTAGATGACATATTTGTGAATAACAAATACAAATACTATAACCAGATTAAGGTATTAAAATCAATGCCTTTTAAAGAGCTGTGAAAATATTTTGTTGCACCTTATTTTAGATCATCAAACACATAAAACTGACCACCTGAATAAATAAAATTGTTTTTTTTTTAAATATTTTACCAGATAGTTAACAGAAAGTTAGCTTCATGAAAAAAACAACTATGCTATTGCCTGTCAGCATAGGGGATTGCTGCAAAATAAACAATGCAAGTGACTGGATACTCTCCCTATGTGCTCATCCTGAAGTAATTACTGTTTGAAGTCAATGACATTATGAAATCTAGGTTTCTGTGGATGGAAAACATTTTTTTTTTTACCAGCTTTAGTAATGTGAACCTGACTACACGGATCAATAACTTGGAAACTGTGCAGTGGTTTGTTTGTAATCTGTCTGTATGTTTGGACCGAATTTACCTTTTTTAATTCCTATGTGTCTATACAAAGTGTTAAAGGTCTAGTGGAGGATGTTCTTTTTCCGGGTGGATCAACAAAATAAGTGGTCCTCCTAGTTGTCAATCATTCTGGTGATATTTTTATGTAAGGCCATCCCAAGTGCTCGCCCCCATTTTCACTTACCACTGGTGAGTCTAATAGTAGAAAAATTGCAAATCTTCTTTCTGAAAGTGAGCTTGTATGAGCGATGCAAACAGCAACTTTTAAACAGAGCGTGCACGAGGAGAAACAGACTCATGCACACTCATGCACACGTCTAATAAGCGTTCCCTCTCAGGAGCGGGTACAGGGTAATGCATGTGCTTTTTTTTTTTTAAGTGGAGAGGGCGGGTCTTTTCGCAAAAATCCTCCACTATACCTTTAAGTGTTGCTCTGCAAATACACTAAAATGAAGTCCTAGAAAACATCCCCTGAATCAGACAATTTTAGTTTTTTGTTCAAAAGTATGGTGTATAGGTTTCCATTGTTATAAAACATAAATAAAGCACAAAATACTGCTGTACAGCTTACTGCATACATTAAGGACATACATACTCATTCTGTAGAATACACCTATATGTACCAAACCACTGAGTTTAGCAGTCCTTTGAAAATGCAAAGATCAGTACTACAATCTACTTCATTAACTTCTGATAAGGATATCCAGAGCTATTATATGAACCTGATGCATATGTTTTTTGTTTTTTTTTGTTCTGTTTTGTCTATGCAGGCTTTTTTTTAGACGGCATTACCCAATCAACAGTGTTACTTTCAGCAGTCTGGATCCCCATGATCAGAGGTTTGATAAAATAAATATGAATCATTCTGCATTTTATTGAAAGAACAGGAAAAAAAAAGACTATCTAACCTGCTTAGGTCTTCTGTGTTCAGTAAATGTTATAATAAATGCGCCGTTACTGCTAATGTAAAAGATCTTTTCTGTATACTTATATTTTTTTTAAATATAAGTTGTATTTGTGGCTGTTTGTCTACTTCTTTTACTTTGACAAATCCTAACATTTGCCTTTTAAATTTGCCTCTGTTTTCTGGTCATTTATGCATCTTGATGTTTTATCTCTGTGTCCGTGTGCCTTTGCTTCAGGTGGATTAATTCTGATAGCACGTCAAGCAAGTAAGTGCTTGTGTCACTGTGTTTGCTTGCTAAAACCGGGTGCTTTATTGCAAGTTTTCCATGTCTTTTCATCTCTAGAAGATACATTTCACTTTTAATTAGAGTTCAAGAGAGCATGTTTAGTTTTTTAAAGACACAACCCACAGCTAATATGTCTGTATGCTTTTATTGTGTTACTTAGCTTGCAGTTAAATTAAATATACCATTAAAGAGAAACTTCATCACTTCTTCAAGGATGATTAAATTCAGGTGCACTAATTACTTTCACTAGTTGTTAGGAATATAAAATAAAGAATCATGCAAACTGCTTCAATTTGCTGAATAATGGTCGCTTTTAGGAGCTCAGTAAAATAACTCCTAATATTTATGCATGCTGAAGACAATTTATTAAACCTGACTGAGTTCAGAGATGCTCCCAGTTATCGTATGACTGCAGCAGGGCAAGTAAGATCTATTAGGAGCATATTGGGTGAGATCTATGTATGGAGAATCTGCACAGAATCCTGACCTTTTCCAGACACAGCACCATTTGGTTAAACAGAACTTACACTCTAAGACCATTTTGTTCAAAGAGGCATGTTACTAATGATACTGCCACCTGTGGCCAAAACACAGAACTGCAGCCCTCTTCTGCTCGTTCATACTTGACAATTTTTATTTTTGTTTTCATCTCATGTAGAGTTGCAATTGGTTTCTTGATTTGTGCTGGATTCTTCTGAAGTCGCTTCTGAGTATCCACAAAATTCATCTTGAATATAATACTTGCTAGGTTGGACCCATTTAACATGGACACGCTTGACGTCATATCCCCAGAAACGATGCAGGAACTTCTGACCTACAGTAAATTAAGGAAAATAGGCTACAGGCTTATAGATTCATGAACTGCTGAGGTGTCAGACTAAATCAGTGTTTTGGTCTTAAAGGGTCAAATAAAAAGGCTATTTTAAAGATATTTTTCAGTTAAAAACGTACAACATACAAGTAGATTATATTCACGTAAACACACTTTGAAAAGTCATAAAGAGCCTTTCTAGAGGCTGTTGTAGGAAAAGAAAATTATTGTATAAAAGCAAATATTTCACAGCTTTTTCTTTGCCACTATTTTCAATAATATAGTTTAGGATAGGAATTTAATAATGGAAAGGAATGTATGTTGATGCCATAACTTTATAAGTTTTAGAAAATTCATAGAAAGTTGAAAGAAAGGAAATTGTTTTGCAAGGAAAGGGGTACAATAAAAAGGTACAGCGATCACACTCGTTCATATCAGTGGGTCTGAGATTAAGACAGTTCAATTTAACTGAAGAAAGACTGTAATGATCCCTAAGAGGAAATTCAATGTGAGAATAACTCATAGGATTATTTTCAAGAAGTTGTTGTAGCTTTAGACAGGAATGATCTTCTGTAGCAGTCTGTCTTGCACCAGATCTGGAGAAGCCTCTGACTGAAGACGCTCTGTTGTTGATAAACAGTCTGATGAAGAGGATGCTCACTGTTGTCCATAATTTTCTTTATTTTATTATGAATTCTTCATCTCCAAAAGTTCTAGAGGAGTTTCTAGAAGAGGTCTTGTTTATTAGCTTGTTTAGCTTTAACTGAAGCTCTAAGGAACCCCAGTAAAAAAGTAGACCCAGTATTTACTAAACATTTAAAGATAAAGCCACACAGATTACAACAACAAAATTACAGGTTTCCGAGGTAACAGTATCTATATTTGGTACCAGTGGTACACCCCCTGATAGTTGCATTGCAAAGTGGTTTGATTTTTTTTCTCCTGTGCAGGATGTTTGGCTTCGTGGCGAGAAGAACGGGGACGACAACGGAGAACGTGTGTCACCTGTTTGCCGAGATGGACCCTGAGCAGCCAGCTGTGGCAATAGTCAACTTCATCAATAAAGTCATGCTGGGACCACAGCTAAGAAGATGAGGAGCAAAGTCATTGGAAACCGTGCACAATTTAGCATCACAAGATTTTTCTGACACATTTTTAAATACATTTTGTTTATTCAAGATCTATATTTTTGTTTGCCTTTTATGCAAATAACACTTTTGTGCTATGCTGTGTTACTGTTTGTAAAACCACAATCCAGATGTAGCTTTTTTTGCAGGAAATGTTGTTTTGACAGGGAGTCACGTAGGAGTTGTTTGAAAAGCCAAAGATTCTCCTAACATTGCCATATGAGATTGTTACATGACTGTTGCTGTTTGTTTGGGTTTTTTCATCGTTACCTAGAGTGTGTGTGCAGGAATATATGTATGATTGTCTTGAGTTACATTTTTACAAGGTTTCAGGTACTGAATATAATTTATAAAACTCATGAGAGAAAACCCATCGGCTTTAAAGCAGGAAGGAAATGAATATGAACAATGTGGAGAAAACGCAAGTGTCATGTTTTAAAAGGTAAAGTGGCATCATTGCATTTTTTTTCTGTGCGCAATATGAGGAAGAGAAGCGTAAGGGATTCAATGTAGGTTTTTGTGTATTCTAAACATTTTTAAAGAAGGCTCTGACTAAATTCACATCTGTAGGTGCATAAGTATTGAAAATTACACTCTCAGTGGTTTAAAAACAAAGCTGGTGGAAATCCATGCGCACACTTTTGTAATCTGTGCACGGTTTGATAAAGTGCATTTTGCGATTACATCTGTTGAGAGTTTGGACGTGTGGCCCTCACCCTATAAATTTAGTTGATCTGTTTTTATACACAAACCTAAAGCGCTGTTATGTTCTAATAAGCACAATTCACAGCTTCTAATATGTTAGAATATGACAGATGTCACTGTGAATCTCAATTTTGCAAGTTGGAGTGCACCGTTTTGCAAACTGCACATAGACTGCACTACCTGAGAGCAAAGTTTACAAGATAACAGATTAGAAAAGCCTTAGCATTGATTCCCTGCAATTTTGTCACCCACTGACAATTGTGGGACTCTCATACAAAGATAAGTTTTTTTTTTTTTTTTTTTTTTTACTAAATGCAAATAGTACATATTTAAACATGGATTTTTCACATACAAAGAAAATATGCAGTTTGATATATATTTGTCAGTTATTTAACCTTGACAGCCATAAAATCTAACATGCATTTCATTCTAACCTAAACATAATCTGATATGAGCTATTTATTATTAATTTATGGTTGTATGGAATATCAGAACTGCACTTCTAATAAATAAGTACATTCTATTTAAGGAAACAGATATGTAACGAATTTACATATGAATTGGCGACATTTAGAAAGGCACTTTTATAGAACCAAAAACATTAATACTTAAGACAACTCTTTTTTTGTAGAATGAAAATAAATAAGGCAAAAATCGAGAGTGCAGAACTGGAAAATTTGATTTTTTTGGATTATGTCTTCATATATTTGTAAACAAAAAATCAAATAAGGAAATTGAGGAATAAATCACTTTCAAAAGAAATGAAACTTTAAGCCAAAGTTTTTGCAATTTTTGTTGCAATTATTTTCTACATTTATTTGTTTGGACCTTTATATGACTGGCAGTTTTATCCTTTTTAATATTGAAAAGTAATATATATTTTTGCCATTTGATGTGTTAAAAATAAAAGAAATATAAAATGATACTGAATAAATGGAGCTGTGTGTGATTATTCAAAAAGACACTGTTCACATGCAGAGATGAATTTACTTTAATTTTGCTTCACATCCTCTTCCTCACAGTGTAATTTTTCCGTATTTTTCTCAGTCCAACTTCACTCCTAGTTAATACCTACTTATGCAGTCAGGTTCTCCAGTGCCCTGCTATTATGACCTGACGATTTGACTCAGGTGTGTTAAAGTAAAACATATACATCAGAAAGGTGCATAACACCTGAGTAGAAATTCGGACAAAAAGACGAGGTCCCACCGAGATTTGAACTCGGATCGCTGGATTCAAAGTCCAGAGTGCTAACCATTACACCATGGGACCAACTGCGAGCTGTGGCAAACCATGTTGATTCTTAAACCTTCTGATGCCTGTCCATCGTTTCACGTGGGGATGTCAAAAGAAATACACAATTTTGCGACAGAAATCTCTGATTGCTATGGAGAGATATTTGTGCCATCGGTTTGAGCGCGCAGGAACCAATCCGAGCGCGCAGTGAGACAACACGCGCGCGCGCGCAAAACCGGTCTGGCGCGCGCTCAACTCTGAAAAACCCTCTCAACACACTGTTCTCGCGCTCAGTTTCATCTCTGCGCGTGCTCGAATCCGTCTCTGCTCGCGCTCGACCTTTTCTCTCCGCGCTCAACATCAGCTGTGCGCTCAGCTGTTTCTCTGCTCGCTCGACTCTCTGCGCTCGCAACTTCAGCAATGTAAATGAACCATACCATCAGCCAATCACGCTCAGCTTCTTTTCATCCAATGAAAGCATCTGTTCCTTCTTCTTCTTCTTCTTCTTTTCTATCACGGCGAATCGCAAGCAACTTTAAGGTGCATACCGC